TCTAGTGGGAGAGGTTTAGTCAGTGGGAATGGCAGAATGTCCAGAAGCCGCATGGAAACAGGACCACATCTGTACACACAACAGAGATTAGAGATAATCAGGCTTTTCTTGTGGCAGCACCTAAAGAAATCAGCTGACTTCTAACATTAAACATTATTTTTAAAACTCTCCCTGTTTTTGTTGCCTTTTCACACCGATAGATTGATGTGATGCTTTCATTTTGTTTGCAGTTTTTTGTATATTTCTGCATGTATTCTAATCTCAGATATTTGCTATTTTGCTGTTTTTGTTGTTTTGTACATTTGTCAACATTGATGAATATAAATAAAGTGGATTCGATTGGATGAATATATAACTGAAAATCAACTAGCCATTGATTGTAACATCAGGACAGCCAGCATCTGGCCTGTGAGCGCTCTCTTATCTTTAAAGATTTCCACGAGTCTAGGACTGTGATGGTGGTCTTGTAGGATTCCTGTCTGAAGTTCTTATCAACTCATCTGTTGTAAAAAAAATAAAATAAAGAAAGAAAAAGAAACTTGTAGGCATAAGTTATTACTGTTACAATTTCTGTGGATATTTTTATTGTTGCTAGCAAAAAAAAACTATTGTTTTTATACCGATAAAATTTGTTTCACATGGTTCCTATTTGTTGGCTAAAGAAAGTACAGAAGTGACAACAACCATATTTTATGGGCCAAGTAATTTTTTTCATAAGAATTGCTCTGTTGAATACATAATATAGGGCAAATCTACAAACTTACCTGTTTTTCAGTAGAGTAGGCCAATGTTGACACATCTGGATAACGGCGGGTTTGCCCTTCACAACTCCATTCCTTCAAAGAGCGAATGTAAGATCAGACTGACAAGTACTCTCATGGAATTAGTACTGTTTATGTATAACTTTCAAGTTTTTATTGGTAGTCTTTATTAGCTGTGCCCTTTGGACACATAAAACCACAATTTTCTACTTCCACACATCCTTAGTTAGTTAAAGGTACATATACTAAAAGAAAATGACGAAAACAAACTACATTCAGCATTTCAAATGCTGCTTGTCTGGTTCAGCTCAACTAGCAACAGCCATTTATTCTGATTCAGTGCATTGGGGCCAAAACGGGTGCACAGTTACATTACCTGTGGACCAGTCTGATAAAGTGTTGGTAAAAATTGTTACCACTTTAAGAAACGTTTAAATTTGTTAATCACTACATTTTTCATGCAAATCGTGTGAGGCTCTAAATTACCGTTTAGTCATTGAACTCTGGCCGTTCACCTGAGGCTTCAAACATGGGGTGGGAAACGTGCTTGTTAGAACGTCAGTGCAGCTGAGTGCTTCCTCTTTGTTCAATGGTACTTTCTTCAGTCTAGTAGTGGCGGCAGTTGGCCACACAGGTGCCTGATATTTTTTATTTTTTTAATTGGCTTTTAAAAATATTTTGGGTCGATGGCCGATATAGAAAATTTTGAATATAACAGCCCAATTTATCGGTCAGCCTCTACCATCAACATACCCCGGTTACTCTGATGAAGGCAGTGTCGGTACAGGATCGGCTCGGGGTCCTTCGACTGCCGATGACGTCAAAGTAGTTGATTGGCTGAACATGAAGCTTACGGAAGTTACGTTATCACGTTATGATTTTGATTGGTCAGAACAAATTTGCGGTTGTGGTCTTAGCGGTTGTTGTCCTGTAGTCCAAAAATCAACACTTTTTGGAGAAAATATGTTTGAATTTCCAAAGGAAATGTAAAATATAAGCAAATGATAAACGGTGACCCTCAAAAGCTCTTGATGTGGATGAAATGGGGCAAAATAAAATATAAGAACTTTACTGAAAGACACCAAGCAATATTTTGTGTCAAAGAATGTATTTAGATAACAACTAAGGAAATATACAGACAAACTCCACATTAATGCAAACAGATATGGCTTCACATATAAGAACTGTTCTATTTCTTGTCAGTCCGATGTTGGTTTTATGCAGTTTCACATTCTTTACAAAACAAAGATAATATGGTGTTTTATTAACAAATTACAATTATAAAGAAAACATTTAGGTGTTAACCAACAAGAATGTATTAACAAAACTGCTGATGTCTTTCCAAAACGTATATGTGAAAGCTGAGTAGATTTGCAGTAATGTGACATCATCAGCAGTCGAAGGACCCCGAGCCGATCCTGCAGCCGAGCAGATCCTGTACCGACAGCGGCAGTGAGCGTCACATTATGTCAGCAAAGGTTGTAACAAACCCTTATAGCTCTGTGTACAACAAAGAACTAAAAAAAGTGATAATGTCAACAAATTTGAAACATTTAAGTAATGTGAACAAGATAATTTGAGTTGAATCAAAATCTCGGTTTTGGCGTAGGAGCGGAAATCAGTAATCACTGTGCACAAAATGCAAACTACTCAGAAGATGCAGCCACGTTAAATCGAACCCCTCTCACTGCACTGAGGATTTTAACAAAGTGTTACTATAAGAAAAAAATCCATCGATTCATTTTGTGCTTTACTGAACTCCCTCTCACTGCTGGAGATTACACCTGGTTGCAAACACATGCTGTGTTTATTTTGTTACAAATTTGAAAGAATCCTTTTTGTTTCCACACACAACACTAAGTTGCCATGTATGACCCTGAAGCTCATTTTCATAATCTCACAAACCGCACACACACGTCTTTAACCACAAGCCCATCAGCTGATTAATAGAAGACTGTACTCACTAATGTAAAATTTAAATCTTCTGCGTAGCAAATGCATTGATGATGGAAAGGAAATCCAGTCTCCTTGTTCTATTTTCATTGTTGATGCATCTGATGCACAGATGGACGAACCGGACCGCTGAGAATACTGCTGCAGTAACTGAATTTGGACAAAAGAAATTCAAGGAAGTTATGAGTTGCGCACGGCCACCTCTCCCTTTCCTTTTCTGTTTTTTACTCCAAACATTTGTGCTGAACTAAGGGTGTAGTTGTTAGCCTGGTAAGCCATCCTATATATGTGAATATATAGTCCGGTCCATTGGCATCGATTTGCTCTTGACATTGGTGAGGGCTCATACATCAATGACCCCCCCCCCCCCAATCGTCTTATTATTTTATTTAAACCTTTACCATTATTTGTGTGTATAGATATGAAACAATCGATGCTAAAGGGTTAAATTGACACACAACAGCTTTTCAATAACATGAAGAACAGTAAATGTGGGATTTCGGTTCTTTATTGTTCTATCATGGATCATAGAGAAATTGGAAAGCCTGATCAGTCACCTTCAATATTTTTGACACCGTTCCTCCAATTAAACATTCCTCACCAGCTTTAAAGTTTCCACAAGACAAACTGTCGAGGCTTGACTGCAGCAGCCCCCTCCCTCTAAATGTATATATTTGCTCTTGAGATGCTCCTTTGTGGCACCTGCTAAATGTAACGGCACTGCAGGGTGGCAGAAAAAAGAGTGCATGCTGTTCCAAAGTGGCATTTCATGGTGGATAAACAGATAGGCTCTGGATTTGGACTCGATGGTTTCTGTTATTTATTTTTTTGTGTCATATTGAAGGTGACTGATCAGGCTCTCTAATGAGGCAGGGTTTATTGCTAAGACGTGTTACAACAATAAAAAAATAAATCAACCAAACACTAATTTCCAGCTTTAGGGAGTGTCTCCAGAGTCCCATTCACTGAGACGGAAAGCTCACGGTGATAAAACCTTCTTCTTTGCTTTTCTGACTGCTGAGTTAGACCCTTGTTCCATTTCTACGCCTTGCAGGGACAACAAACAAGATCAGATGTAAAAGGCGTGTCAAGTTCTCCTACCCACTGAATCTAATGCAGATGTTTACAACAGCATGTGCTTTGTGAATCACACTGAGATCAGTGCATAGAGGTGGGAAATGATGCACACAAAAGGAGAAAAGAACTGAATCTGGGCCTAAGTCCCAGCAGCTACATAGACAGATGATTATTTGGCATCAATGTGTTTTAGATTTGAATAAAAACAAATCTGTAGAAGAAAAAAATTAGTACAACATAACAAGGAATATACAGTGCTGCTTTACCAGTAAGATACAATGCAAGTGCCACGTTATTAGATGATTTTATTAAAATAACTAATTTTATGTCTAAAGTGATTTTGTGCTGACTGCAGAAACCTCCTGGATGACACGTTTTCCTACGCAGAGGTAAATGGTGTGGCACAATGTAAAAGATGTCTTGTTTCTAACTCTCTCTGCAACAAAATGCAAACTCAATCTTAGAACGTCACCACCACGAGCATCCTGCTGAAACAAACTTAAAGGAATCAGAACAGAAGCTATACAGCTCCCATTTCTCCTGATTCTGTGATTCTAACCCTTTCCTTTTCCTCTTCATCACTGTTTCTGCTTTCACCGCCTACTCCCCCACCTGTGGTCCCCTTTAACCTTATAGTTTCTTAGGTTTAGCCCACTGGCAGTTGTCTACTTTTAGCAATGCCCTGATACCTTCTCTGGAATACACTGTACTAGTTTTGCTGTCTGGTTTCCATTACTTCTGTGTTCTGGTGCCGCTAACACACGTGCCATCTCTAAAAGATCAATATGAGACACACTTCATGCATCATACCACACACTGGGAGTAAAGCCCTGAGATGCATCCTGATTACTCTGCTGAACTATATTGTTCTGATTTGTGGAGACGTAAACCCTGAGCTGGGTTGTGCAGCTCATTCATTCATTCACACCAGTCAGAGCCTGGATGAACACAGTGATATGGAGCAGAACTCAACATTAACATGTCATTTAATTATGGAAACATTTGGTTCTTGCAGGACTCAGTTGTAGACCTGACTGTTTCAGACTTATTTACAATAAAGATTTTAGAGATAAAAACATAGTTTGTTGGTTGAACTTATGTGTTAATTCGGATCCACATTTTTTATTTTATCCGTGTAAAACAACAGTTTAGGTGTAAGTCGTCGCTCCACGTGCACATTAACAACCAGATGTGTGAGCAGCAGCCTACCTGTCCAGGGCAATGGCGGTCATTGAGTAGATGCTTGCAAACACCGCCGCGATGGGGAAGAAGTTGTGAAAGCGGCAGTAGACCAGTCCGAAGTACCACTCGTTGTGCACGGAGTAGACGAAGTTGATGACCGTGTTAAAGGCGGACATGGAGACTTCAGCCAACGCCAGGTTCAGGAGGAAATAGTTGGTGACGGTCCTCATGCGCTTGTGCGCCATGATGATCCAGATGACCGTAACGTTACCGACCACCGACACCACAACTATACAGCTGTACGCCACGGCCCAGAGCACGACTCTCCACGCCGGCTGCACAAACTGGTTAATGAACACGGTCTCGTTACTTGTGCCGCTGGGGCTGATTGTGTCATTGAGTACGTCGGTCGCGTTAAACGTTAGATCCATGTTGCCTTTAACGGAAAAAGCACAGAAAGCCCGGCTAACTACGCCAGTCTGAAAGTTAAAATAGGAATAGTTTGGAAAACCGTCCCCGCCTCCCGCTCATGGAACTAAGTGTTTTTCAAAGTGTCCCTTTCATAACGTCATGGGTTAAAAATGTCAGAGTCAGCGCAGGAGGTGGAAATAAAAAAACACTCAATAGATACAAATATATCTCCCATTTAGCACCGTGCGTAAAGACGAAGACGCGAGCTTTACGCGCGATGACAGCCCCGAACGAGCGCGCACTCCTTCAGCTCAGCTCCTCTGTCCGAACCGAGCCGCTGCGCAGCCTCTTATGAAGCGAGCCAAGGCGCATCCTTCCGAGGGGCAGGTCCTCATGATTATGGATGAGCTCAGATGAGCTTTTCATTTCATCCGATGCGAGGCGCGCGCCAGAGACCGATGGGATTATCGTCCCTAAATTCCTCTGATCTGATTTCATTAGGTCATTGTGCGTCTGCTGGCTATTAACAGAGCTCAGGATGGAACAAAGAAATTAATTAAGCAGGCATAGCAATAATAATAACAATAATACACTGTAATCTGTGCACTTAATGAAACAAAATGAAATAATTATCAAGTGATCACTTTTTAAGATATTTCATTCATTTTTGTTTGTTTTTATTGACAACAAGGAATGACAAAGCTTTCCCTGTGAAAAATCGTGTGTCTCACTGTTAAACTGACAAATGTTCACATTGATCCTGATTTACATTTAAGCATCAGACACCAAGGAATGCCAGGATCATTTCCCAAGAAAATCTGCTCATTATTGGTCGAGCACATGGGCGTCGCACCCGTGGGGGATGTGGGGGTTTCAACACCCACACTTTTCCAGCCATTTTGCTCACCTCCACACCAGTCTGGTTTCTCTACGCCTCTACGTTGCACTCACTCTGCTTGCCTCATCTCCTTCTTCCCCTCCCTCGTCTGACAGCCGATGTCAGGTTTCAGGAGCTCGACTGGGAATTCATAATTTTACATATTGACGTTAGCTGTACAAAGTCTGAGTTTGATAAAGTGAAGAACAACAATTTGCAGAGGTTTATAACAGGCGCGGCGCCAGGTTTGGGTGGGTCACGGTAATTTGGGACGGACCTTAATAAGCAGAGACTTAAGTGAAGCAGGCAGGTCGCGCTAGAAAATGTCGTTTAAAAAGACGTCATACATCCTGGCTTCTAGTCCACGCCATCAGCATTATTTTAATTGGTGTGTGTGTGTGTGTGTGTGTGTGTGTGTGTGTGTGTGTGTGTGTGTGTGTGTGTGTGTGTGTTTTCCACTTCAAACACTGGTCCAACCAACCAGACCAGCGTGTCCAGTAACATATTAATGTTACAATTAAACAGTTTCACTTCATGTAGGCTAGGAACGTTTCACCTGCCGTGGCCCGACCGCTTCTGCTCCACATAAACTTTGTGTGTGATCAAATGTCTCTACAGGTGCTTTCTGAGCTGAAGAGGCTATTCTGCCTAACGCTCGGATGTTCTGATGGGAATCTTTTCTTGACTAATTTAGTTCCCTCCGCGATGTGCGTAGCGATTAAAACGTCACTGACATTTTAATCGACACATTATGTCAGCTCATCAGTATGCGTCGGGGTAATTCTTTCAAAACAACAACATCCTTGAGTTTATCCATCAAAATAAAAGTCAAATGGAAATATCTGTAACCTGCCATTTAACTGTTTTGCCTTCTTGTGAAGATTGTTGCAAAGAGAAACAACTAAACTTGATTAACCCCAGAGCCATGTGCACTGCACTGTACGCGTGACTGTAAATGAGGGGAAAACGATTTAATCGGATCCTTTTCTTTTCAACATGGTTTAATGTAAAGTTTCATTCAGTACAAACTTTAGTTACACCAATCTAACGAGACAGAGCCTGGATTTGTATTCTGAACAGTTTAAACATGTTTAAAACGGAGACATGCGTGACGCGTCTAAAATTCGCACCTGCTCCGCTATTATGGAAATAACAAGATGATGAAGAAGAAGAAAATATCATTTCTATAGCGCCTCTCAAGATGAAAATCACGAGGCGCTTCACAAAAACAAAAAATGTAAAAATATAAAAAAGCATTTAGAAAATGTTTAAAAATATATTTAAAATGAGCAAAAAGAGACAATTGTGACAAAAAAATGTTAAGAAAGAGAGAGAGTGAACAGGAAAGAGGGGAAATCAGTGGATCCTGAGGAAGGTGGAATAGGTGGGGAGAGCAGAATAAAGAGAGAGTGGTGATGAAGGTCATACAAAAGCCAGCTTGAACAAGTGAGTCTTCAGCTGCTTTTTAAAGGAGACCACTGAGTCCACTGATCTCAGGCTCAGGGGGAGAGAGTTCCAGAGTCTGGGGGCCACAGCAGCAAATGATCTGTCACCTTTGGTCTTTAGCCTGGTGCTGCACAACCAGTAGGCTTTGATCACTGGACCTCAGGGACCTGCTGGGGTGTAGGGACTAAGAAGATCACCAATGTAAGATGGTGCTTGTCCATGTAAGGCCCTATAGACCAGAACCAGGATCTTGAAATGAACCCTGAAGCTGACTGGCAGCCAGTGAAGCTGGAGGAGAAGCGGGGTGATGTGGGTGTGTTTGGAGGACTTGGTCAGAAGCCGAGCACAGGCATTCTGAACCACCTGTAGACGGTTCAGGGAGGTTCTGCTCAGACACGTGAAAAGAGTTTTCAAGATGAATGTTCAGATGAATGAGTTCATCAAGATGAATAACATAATTATTTTAGGCACAGACAACATCCACCACACTTTTGAAAAGCTTGCAATGCGCCTGGCCGAGCAGGGGATCTTTTATCTGCCCAGAGCTCTGTAAAGAGAAATCATTAAGCAGGACTCTGATTGCATTAATAGAAACAGGAGAGTGTGTAATGAAAGTAATCACACTGGAAACTTTACTTTACAGCTCCTGGCTTTGGTGTGTTGTTGGTTGATTTTGTCTCGGCTGCTTCACCCGTTGGTCCACGTTCATAGGGCTGCTGACTTCCGAGTTCATCTTTTATTTAGCCTCTTTCTGGAACATTGCTCATTCCCTAATATCCTATACCACGTATTCCTTAGGAGGATCACAGGGAGCCTGTGTTTAGCTAAAATATATTTGCAATTAAATTAATAAAATAAATCTTATTAGTCTTTCCCAAACACCTGTGTAATAGCTGGAGTTCCACAACGGGAACTACGGACGGCCTCTTTCATCTCTTCCCAAATGAAACTTCAACCCACGCTGCATTTATTAGACAATGAAAGTTGGGAAACAGAACATTTGTATTTGGTTTCAAATGCAGATTCTGCACAGCAAATTTGAAAGTTCAGAATTAATACTCTCAGAGTTTAAATTAACACCTCTTCAGAGTTTCTATGGGAACTACTGCTTCCATGTTAAATCAACACTTTTAAAATAGTCAACATTTTAACACCATTTTAGTGTTAATCTGAACTCTGCTCGTGTTAAATTTTAAAACCCAAATTAGTGTAAAAACTCCAAAAGAAAACACTTGTTGAGTTAAATTTTGACACCAAGACAGTGTTACCCTAACTCTGGGCTCTCCCTTAGAGATAGGGTGAGAAGCTCAGTCATTCGGGAGGGGCTCGGAGTAGACCAGCTGCTCCTCCACATTGAGAGGTGCCAGTTGAGGTGGCTCAGGCATCTGGTCAGGATGCCTCCTGGACACCTCCCTGGTGAGGTTTTCGGAGCATCCTACCGGGAGGAGACCTAAACGTAGACCCAGGACACAGTGGAGGGACTATGTCTCTCATCTGGCCAGGGAATGCCTTGGGATTCCCCCAGAGGAGCTGGCCCAATGTCATGGTTTGTGCTGAGTATAACTGTGTGTTGTGCTGAGTCTTCTCTGTGTGCAGGTGGGTGTGTCTGGAGAGCAGCTGCTGCCTATCTGTTCATCAGTGGTCAGGGGATTTAAGGAGCGTCGGGACAACTCATCAGTGCCGGATGATACTCAGCATTGGGTAGAACTCTTGCCAGCACCTTGCCTATGTCTGAAAATGTGTTATCTTTTGTGTGTCTCGCCTTCCTGAAATTATCTGTCCTGTTCTCCTCCAACCTCCTCAGGAAACTTCTCCTCCACCAACCAAACCTCCATCAGCTGGAAGAAAAACTCACCGGATTCCAACCCTGTCCGCCAGCCCCGTCGCTCACCCCTGACCGCCTGCTCTCCAACCCCCACCTGCCAACCTGGACAACCCGAACTCTGGTGCTCACCTCCCAGCCACAACTGACTCACTCGACCAGCTCAGCCAGCCGTGACTTGCCTACCTGCTCTGAGCCTTACCAACAACCAGGAAACCGTAAGCTACAAACACATATTCCTTTCACGGTCACGGTCAATCTGCAAATACTCACTCCTGTCTCCGCTCTAGAACTCCACCGGAACCACCTGATCTCAGACCATCATCTCCATCTCCCATCGTACATAAAAATATAACCTTTTTTACTTACCTTTGTCTCAGTGTATGATTCTGCATGTCGTGGGTCAAAAAGCTACAACCCAACATGACACCCAAGTGGCTGGGGAGAGGGATGTCTGGGTCTCTCGCCTTAGGCTACTGCCCCTGCGACCCGACTCCGGACAAGCGGATGTAAATGGACCAACAAGACCAACTAGCTTTTTGTCCAGAGCCGGAAACATTGGAAGACCTGATCAGTTTGGCTGTCCGCATGGAGAAGAGGCAAAGAAGCTGCCCAAGACCTGTCCAGCCGTGTTATCCGCCAGCGTTACCAAACCAATTTGCCCAATCCACTTCACCTCTAAAACCTCTAAGACGGGAACCGAAGAAGCGCAGGACTGGCAGCAGGATTCCAGGAGGAGATTCTGAGGAGGGAGACAGTGTGAATATCAGGTGGAAACAATGGAGACTTATCTGGAGGCTGGGCTTACTGTTTCTTGGTAGTGGTGAAATGTACAGGGAGGGTTTGGTCAGGTCCGGGTGAGCTGAGGAGATCCAGAAGGTGAGGGAATTGATTTATCCAGAGGCGTAGGAGCAGGAATGGATGATGGCAAGTGAGCGGCTGAGAGCGGGCGGCCAGGGGAGGAAGCAGAGTGGTCTGGAATGCTGAGATCCGGGTTTGTTCAGGAGGTAAGGAAAAATGAAGATGAACCTGGAGGAGAGCAGGGAAGGAATTTCAGGCGGCAGGTTAAGAAGAACAGGATACAAATACAAAAATCAGGTTAGAGGCTAGAGCTACCCAAACAGAGTAATCATCCGGCGTGGTGAAGTGTCACACTGCTCCTTAAATCCCCTGGGCCTTGATGATGGAATCAGCTGCAGCTGGA